TCCTGGTTCAGTCCGCACCTTCTCGTCCTTCCCCTTCTGTTCGTTCTGGTCCCCCGCCCCTGCTTCCGGCCCCGAAGCGTCTGAGGGTTTCGGGGTCGGAGCAGGGGTTACTTGATCTCGAGACTCGGGTAGCTTCGGGGGTTGCCCCTTCCGGGGGTGTGGCAGAGGCATTCGAGTCTTGTCTCCCGGCCGAAGCTTCAGGGTCTGACCAGTGGGCCCCCCTTCCTCCAGCTTTTCCGGCTGCTCCGTCCTTGTCTTGTGGGGTCGGGGCTTGGGGAGAGGACTCAGCCTCGGGTCCTGTGGTGACGGACCTCGAGGCTGGGGAGGGGCTGACTAGGGGGCCTTGGGCCCCGCTGGACCCCGCCTGGGTTTTTCTTCCCACTGAGTGGGGCTTATTGTTACAAGGAGTGGGGTTTTCTTTTCCCCCCTCTGCGTACGAGTTGGATTTGGTGTCGGCCCCTCCCTGGGTTCGGTTCCGTGTTCCCCCGGGTACGTCGGTTCCGTCCTTCCGGAGGTTTTCGGCTTATCGCATCCAACCTGGTGTGGTGCGAGCGGCTTTTGCAGCTTACCTCCTGCGTGACCCAGATTATGCCTCGGAAATGGATCCGTCCACGTTCAGGTTTGGGACTTCGTTCCCTTTCTGGCTCCGTTACGAGGTTCCGGAGTCGTCCTGGCTAGCAGACTGCCCCTTGTTTGGTCTGGATTCCTGGCATTCCTTCTGTCGTTCCCGCACGCTGGAGTGGCGGGAAGCTTCCACGGTGCTTCAGGTTTTCCTGGGGGGCGAACTTGAGTACCTGAATGAGTGCTTGTTTGCCCCTGCCCTTCCCCGCGATGTGGGCGTTATTCAGCTCCATGTGCAGGTTCCCTCCCTTTCGGCGGCGCTCGTTGCGGAGGACTTGCGCGCCCGGGGCCTTTTGTGTTCGGCCTTGCGGTTCTTTTCCCTCCTGGAGCTGTCTTCGGATTGGCTCATGGAGGATGTGGGGACGCTTGGGTCCGTCCCGGGGTCCGGCACCTTGTCCTCGGCTGCGCGTTCGTCGGCTGCCTTGTTGAAGCTGTTCACGCCGATTTTGCGGGATGCGGTTTCCCTGTTTTATGCTTCCCGTCTCGCGTGTCGGCAGGCGGTGCTGGGTTCCTCCGTGGAATCTGCTTGGGCTCTGGCTCTTAGGCATTCTTCACCTTTTTGTCCTCTCCTGTTTGGGGAGTCGGCCGTGGCGCAGTTTATTCAGGCTGCGTCGGCGGCTTGTCGTCCGATGTCGGACTTGTTGGTTTTCCGGGGGTCCTGGGGTGGGTCTTCCCGGAAAGGTCGTGCCAGGGCTCGGGGTTCCTCTCGTCGTGGTAGGCCTCTCGTGTCAGGTTTGGGGTTGGCTCCTCCTGCGGACCCTCCCTCGTCTGGGTGGCGCGGTGTTCGCGCTGTGCGGGGTTCTGGGTCTCGTAAGGGTCACCGGCCCTTTCGCGGTTTGCCCCCTTGACGGAGCGATGGGGGGGGCGGCTTGCGCTGTTCGCCTGCGCCTGGTCCCACGATTCGTGGGCCTTTCGGGTCGTGTCTCGCAGCCTGCGGTGGCGTTGGGTAGCCCCTCCCCCCTTTGGGGGGTCGGGGCTGGCAGGGCAGGTTTCTTCCCCTGCGCTCTGTCGAGTCGTCTTGTAGTGGGTACGCTGGGGCGTCGTCGAAACGACTTCGTCCCTCAGATGGGTTTCCCGTCTGTTTCCGGTTCCGAAACGGGACTGCGCGGACCTGCGGTTCATTCTGGACTTGTCCCGTCTGAACCCCTGGGTTCATTGCCCCTCCTTTCGGATGACTACGCTGTCTCAGGTTCGGCTCCTCTTGGAGCCGGGAGCTTGGATGGTGTCCCTGGACCTCCGGCACGCTTATTGGCATGCCCCGATTCATCCGCGGTTCAGGGACTGGCTCGGTTTTGTTGTGGGGCGTCTGAGTTACCGCTTTCGTTGTCTCCCATTCGGGTTGAACCTGGCGCCTCGCGTGTTCACGCGCCTTACACGGGTTGTGGTGGCTCGTTTGCGTCTCCTAGGTGTTCGGGTGTTGGCCTACCTCGACGACTGGCTGGTTTGGGCTCCCAGCCAGTCAGCTTGCTTGCTAGCCAGGGATTTGGTTCTTTCCCAGCTCGCCGAGTTCGGGTTCTTGGTGAACTGGAGGAAGTCCCATCTGGTTCCCTCTCAGGTTTGGACTTGGCTGGGTCTCGTTTGGGACTCTCGAATCGCCTCCTTATCTCTCCCTCCGGAGTCTCTCCTGCGGCTGCGGTCCCGTCTTCGTCTGTTTCTGGAGGGCCCTCGGGTCACCCGGCAGTTGCTCGAGGGGCTGTGCGGGAGCCTGAACTTCGCAATGGTGGTCTACCCGCCGGGTCGGGTTTGGCTTCGACGGCTGTTCTGGTTCGTTCGGGGTTCCCCCTTCCGCCTCTCTCGCGATCGCAGAGTTCGACCCCCGGGGGCCTTGCGTCGGTTGCTGCGTCACCGGCTTCCTCTTCGGGTTTTTCGGGGTTCAATGCCTTGGCGCCTACCCGAGCCCTCGCTCGATGTGTACACGGATGTGTCGTCTCTCGGCTGGGGTTTAGTGACCAGTGCTCACCAGGCCGGCCAGGGGCGTTGGGATCCGTCCTTCCGTCTAGCTCACAGCACGGTGCGGGAGTTCGCGGCAGTGTGGTTTGCTCTGGGGAGGATTCGGGTGGCCCGCGGATCGACGATTCGGCTCCATTCGGACTGCTCTCCAGTGGTTCATTGCCTGAACCGCGGGGGTTCGATGCGGTCCTTGTCTCTTTGGGGTTGGTCGCTTCGGGTGACTCGTCTGCTGAGTTCTCGGGGTTTGGCTCTCCTGGCGGTTCACGTACGAGGCGTGTCCAACGTCTTGGCCGACGCCCTGTCTCGCTTCGTTCCCCTCTCCACGGAGTGGACGGTCGACGATGAGTCCTTCCGTTGGCTTTGCCAGACGTTCGGGTGCCCCGAAGTGGACCTCTTCGCGTCGGCGTGGTCGCGGCGTCTTCCCGTTTATGCGGCGCCCTTCCCCGATCGCGAGGCCGTCGGGGTCGATGCCTTTTGGCTAGACTGGTCGAGGTGGGGGTTCCTGTACCTCTTTCCCCCGGTTCGGCTGTTGCTCCAGGTCCTGACTCGCTTAGAGACTTACCAGGGGAGAGTTGTCCTTCTGGCCTCTTGGTGGCCGGCCCAGCCTTGGTTTCAGGCGCTGGTTGCTCGGTGTCCGAACCCGAGTGTTTTCCCGCGGCTCCGGCTCTTTCAGCAGATCGGGCCGGTATGTCACGTGGCTGGTTCGATCTTCTCCTCGAGTCTTCGCGTATGGTTTTTTTTACTCGAGTCTATCATCATCTCTATGGTGATCAGGTGCCCTCCTTGTTGGTGTCCCACCTGAGGGCTTCTTCTCGGCGGCAGTATGAAGTTTCGTGGCGGTCCTTCCATTTCTTTTTGCGTCTTCGTCGTGTTAGCAACTTGTCTGTTCGGGTGGTCTTGTCCTTCCTCTCGTGGTTGTTTCAGGACCATCATCTTATGCCTAACACTGTCGCTTCGTATCGTGCGGCGCTGGCGGAGCCGCTTCAGCTTGCTTTCGGTATCGATGTTACGTCTGCGCCGTTTCGCAAGCTGTCTCGTGCATTGTTTCACCTCCGGCCTGCTCATGCGTTGCCTGAGCCATCCTGGTCTTTGGACAGAGTGCTCGCTTTCCTTTCATCTCCTCATTTCGCTGTGGCCCCTTCGGTCCAGGATTGTTTTTCCAAGGCACTTTTCTTGTTAGCTTTGGCCTCTGGGGGTCGGGTAGGGGAGCTTCATGCTCTCCTCCGGCGCAGGGGTTTCTGCTCTTTTGGTCGTGGTGATTGTTTTGTTCGTTTGCAGCCGTCTCCTTCTTTTCTGGCGAAGAATGAGACTGCTGCGTTCCGGAGGGGTCCGTGGGTGGTTGATGCTTGGTTGGTCAGGCCGGGGGTGCATCATGTTTTGTGTCCGGTTGCGGCGCTTCGCCGTTATTTGCGCGCCACAGCTTCTGTGTCCGGGTACGCGCTGTGGGTTGATCCGGTTTCCCTTCTTCCCTGTTCGCGGGTTCGGGTCTCTCAGGTCGTCCGCAGGGTTATTAGGTCCAGCCAGCCTGCGGTCTATCCCCGTGCCCATGACGTTCGTAAGTTCGCGGCTCTTGCTGCCGTCTTTGGGAATATGTCTTGGTCTGATATTCGGGCGCGGGGATTTTGGCGGTCGAACAGGGTCCTGGCTGCTCGTTACCTTGTGAATGTCCCTGGGCCTCGTCGGGCCTGTGTTGCTTTGGGTCGGCAGTTGCAGCCAGTTGTCTCGGCTTCGAGTTGAGGGGTGAGCGACGACCGCCTCCCGGGTAAGGCCCTCTTTTTTCTGTCTGTGGGTAGTTAGCACCGGGGAGCCGACGGGGCTCCCCCCAGAAAACCAGCGTTGAATGTAATGAAACGCCATTTTCTGGGTGAGTCCCGGAGGCTCCCCAGCATCCCTCCCTCCCTCCGGTCAGCGGTTTTTCGCGATTTTGACATCCAGCCTCAAGAACTGAGGTGTGGGTAGACGGCGCGGGGGTCTGGGGCTCCCCCTTCCCCCTCCCGGGGAGGGGGGAGCTGCGCAGACAGCGGCGCGACGGTGTGTGACGTCACACTAGTTTGCTTGTTTTCGGTTGGGAAGTTCTATCCACTAGTTCGGTTTTTGGTAGCAATTTTAACCAGAATAGGGGTTTGTTTTTGGGCGCTTACCTTTCTGGGTGCCTGTTCCGGTCGATGGCAGACATAGAATGCTTCCAACTACACGGGGGCTTCTATAGGCCATTGCTCCCCTTGCCTCTCTGAGGGGGCCCGGTTCTGGCCGTGGTCCCCGGTAGGCCTAAGAACTCCATACACATGACTGATGCCAAAGTCTGACATTAGCATATCAGCCTGGGATAGCTCCGGGGAGCCTCCAGGACTCGCCCAGAAAATGGCGTTTCATTACATTCAACGCTGGTTTTTTATTCTGTATCTCTAAAATATATAAATTAATTCTAGATATCCAGAACCTGACCTTCCAACTCATGTTGAGCGGCAAATATCTCATGTAAGCCAAAGAGACTGGGGACGACCAACTTCTCCATGGGCATCTTCACCTTCATATTCCCCATGGGCATCTTCATCTTCATCTTCATCTTCATATGCTCCATGGGCATCTTCATCTTCATATGCCCCATGTGCACCTTCACCTTCATATGCCCCAAAGATTCGTCCACCTACTGTGCCTCGCAGGGCTCAAATTCCACCATCTGCTCCACACTCCTATGCATTGTCTCCAAATAACAGCCCAAACTTGCATTTGAAGTTTGTTGATATTCCAATAAGTGACGTACTTAAGACAGACCATGGCATTACTACCTTAGACCTTCACCACATGACTGTCAGAGAAGCCACTCAGACAACGAATAAGTTCCTCCGCCAAAGCGTTGGTCAACATAAGGTCAGAATTGTTACTGGTAGGGGTTTACATAGTGAAGGTGGAACACCCAAACTCAAACCAGCTATTGCATTACTTTTAAAGCGAAGAGGTTTTGAGTTTCGAGAGGTGAACAATGGAGGATGCTTTGAAGTAACTCTCTCTTAATGTGTTAGTTACGTTATGGTAGTATAACGTAGAAGTTGGTAAAATTATTAATTTTTTAATTCTTATTGTCTTGAGAAGAAGAATTTTATTTTTATTTTATTTTATTTTATTTTACGTTAACAAGAATAATTACTTGGCATTTTATTTTACTTTGAATTTTATGTCTTCAATGGTTAATTTGTGTTATGTATTTTAGAAAGACAACTAACTGCATATGACAACCAATTTAATTGGTAATTTTACAAGATTGTTAGACAAATCATGCGGATGTAAACAATTAGACTGGTCTAAAAAAATTGGATTAAAAACTCACTCAATCCATTTTGACAAAAAGTGAATATGATTTTAATTGGAGCTATATTTTTTAATACTCAGAACTGGACTCGGAGCTAATCCTTTGTTCCGCCTTCATGATAATGAGAGTAGAAATTTTGTGTTTCATTTTGTTAAACTTTAAAAAAAAAAATATTTTTAAATCACATTGATGAATTCTTGAGGTTGTCACAGAGGCTTAATTGTCTGCATTCATGGCTATGTTGCATATAAAATGTGAAAGTCAAGTTATTTAATATGAAAAGTGTAAGAGTAATAGCAATACAGTAAATGTAATGATATTTACAGTGCCATGTATTGCAGCATCATCACTGAGGGCTCCTGTAGATCTTATATCACCTCACATCTCAAACAGGTAAAGGTTGACTAGGAAAAAAGCCAGTCCATTATGCATGGCATTTGAAAATAACATTAATATTTGTACATACAGAATCACAATAATGTGATGTTTATCATATGAACAAATCCACAAGGGCTGTGATAAGGATTCAAACTAAGGCGCTGAGTGTTCCCAGATGCGCTCTAGTCAACGGTTGCAATTGTTTTGGCCATGTCGTGATACAGTTGATTAGAGCGTGTCTGTTGACCAGACCACACACTAGAAGGTGAAGGGATGACGACGTTTCGGTCCGTCCTGGACCATTCTCAAGTCGATTGTGATGAGGAAGTAGAGACAGGCAATAACGAGTGTTCCCAGACGTGTCTGGGAACACTTGGCGCACAGGTTTGAACCCTCATCAAGGTTACTCTGGATTTACTAATATTTGTAGAATTATCTAAAAATAATTAATGATGCTCTCTAGTTGCAGAAAATAGATACAGTATTTAATAAGACAATTGGAGCTCTATTTTTGACCATTGGATTAAATAATAGTAATATTTTATAGTGGTGCTGTATTGTCTTTAAGGTTAAGAGGCTTGAACTAATATGATAAGAAAAGCTTCACATACTATTTGTGTATTGAAAAGCTGACATTTTTATACATCTATTGTGATAACTTTTATATATTGCAAAATACGTGATTTAGAGAAATTATTCTAAACAATGACTTGGACCAGTAATTAATAATGTGTTTTGTTTCATTATACGATTACATGAGTTGTAAGGCCTTGTAATAAGACAAAACATTGTACTATATAATCTTCATCAAAAATGGTTCTTCTAATCATACATATACTTGAAGCTGTAACAAATTTTAATTAAAGTTTCCTAGTCATACCATTAAGTAGATTACATCTTTTCCATTTAATATTTGATGACTCCAGAGTAATGACTCTGGGACTGATAAAACATTTGCATTGGAGATGTCAAAATTTGTATTATCTTTCACTCTTGAAGTGCCTTGACAAGCCTTGTGGTTATTGTAGAATAAGTTGAAAGCCTTGAAGACTGCTTTATTTCACTACTTTCTTCACCTTGCATGAGAAGTGCTCTATTAACAATTAAGTAGTGTTGTTACTGAGGACTAGTAGAGTGTGGGCAGGAGGAAATGTTACTCTCCTGTAGTATCCTGTTTGTGTTTTACTCTTTTTTTTTTGTTTTTTTGTTTTTTTACCTATATAAGTTTGCATAACCAAGAAACTTACAAATATCCACATTAATGTCTATTGTTTTAACACTATACTGTGTATACCATTATACATTACAGCTTCCCTTGCAATTGAACTGAATTATTAGTAAAGTATTATACAGTAAGCCTTTGAGTTGCACAGGGCATGTATCCTGGTAAAAAGTATGCAAACATTAGCTACACAAATTTACAAAACTGTTCTTTGGGAAGAAAGAGATTGCTAGAGACATTGTGCAGTTCCTTCATAACCACTATTGTCATCCTCTGGGACGGTATGCCACCAGACTCGTCCCGGAACTAAGAGGTATGAGCTACGAGGAAAGGTTAAAGGAGCTGAAACTCACATCCCTGGGAAACAGAAGAGTAAGGGGAGACATGATAACCACCTACAAAATTCTCAGGGGAATTGACAGGGTGGAAAAAGACAAGCTCTTTAGCACAGGTGAAACACGGACAAGGTGACACAGATGGAAACTTAGTACCCAAATGAGCCACAAAGACATTAGAGAGAATGTTTTCAGTGTCAGAGTAGTTAACAAATGGAATGCATTATGAAGTGATGTGGTTGAGGCTGACTCCATACACAGTTTTAAATGTAGATATGATAGAGCCCAGTAGCCTCAGGAATCAGTACACCAGTTGATTGACAGTTGAGAGGCCTGACCAAAAAGCCAGATCTCAACCCCTGCAAGCACAACTAGGTGAGAACTAACTTCTCAAAAAAAATTAAAAACATGTGCAATAAACCATATTTGAATGCACGCAGTACATCCCTGTCAAAATTAGACAACTGTTGAGGCAAGATGATGTTGGATGAGGAGTGAATAAGTTGGAGAAAATGGGTGGTAGCAAATCTTCAGGGTCAGTCTAAATCTCTACTTCACTTGATGTCATTTTATGGAATTTAATTAAGCCACAGAGTTTTTAATTTTAGCTGTATTTTTTGTAATTCTTTGTATTCATACTAAATTTGTTTAATGTTATATAGATGACCAAGAAAGGCAGCAAAATTGCTGCTCTCAAGATGTAATAAATTCAAATTTTGTTTCCAAAGTCAGCATTATCTATTGTTTCTTCCTGAGTTTATCATACAGTACAGGAAATCTTTCAGGATGTTTGGAAGGAGCCAGGATACAAGAATGTACTTTAGAGAGTGTAAACACAATAGTAGTGTGAGGAGTCACGAATTTGGCATATAGTACCTGGGTGTTCGAACAACTTCTTTCAAAGCTTTCAAACAAATTGTTCTTGATACTTAGGTAGGAATAGGCTCAACACCAGGGTTTGGGCTCAACAGGATTTGGACTCAAGACCAGGGTTGGGCACAACACCAGGGTCAAGCCCAACACTAGATTTGAGCTGAACACCAGTCAGGCTTAACACTAGTCAGGCCAAGAGAAACAATAAAACTAGAATCTAAAACCTGCCGTTATTATAAATGGGGTACTGTATGTGCAAATACATATCACCCCCAGAAACTGTAGAAATATTCTTAGTATATAGGTAAATGTTCCAAAAAGCTGCAAAATTTTCCACTTTGAACTTTGTAAGAGCTCCTTAATTTAAATAGGAAAGAAAGTTTCAACAGAGGCTATCCAGCTTTTCATATAAGAGGAATGAGGCAAATAAAACTAAAAGAATGCCACTATGAAAATAGCCGCAACTATGAAAACATACAGTCATAAACATACCAGGGAGATTTCTTTTTAGTAGAGGAAGAGGAGAATGTCTTAAAAATGTCCAGACTCTACCACCAACTCAATCAAATGATAGAGGACAAACACAATGGCTCCCTTACCAGAACCCCAGATATTAACACCAAGAAAAACATCCAGCACTTCCAAATATATGATATGATATATATATTTGGTAACTTTCAGGATATAAAAACATGCAAATCAAACAAAGTACACTTTATAGCTGGCTTCCTAAATGAGGCAAATGCAGTGTTTGCATCGCTAACTGAAACCCACACTAAGGATTACTAAGATGTTGAAATATGGATACCAGAGAACAATATTTCCAGATGTGACAGGAAACACCGGCTACAGGGTGGGGTCAGCCTGTACATCAAAGATACACTCATCTGCACTGAGCTGCTGAACACCACAAATGATATGGTGGAAGTGCTGATACTCGAAATAGAGACCTGAAATGTGGTTATTATTCTTGAATGCAAGCCACCAGAGGCAAGTCCTCAGCAGTTTAAATAGTTTTTTTTTTCTTTTTCAAAAAAACTAATGAAAATAGAATACTGCTTAGAAAAACTCACAGATCCAGCCTCAATCATTATCTTGATTCAGAACTTCAACCTGTGGCACCAGAAATGAAAGAGTGTAGCAAATATCTGAGAGAATCCCAGGAAGTAGCGTAAAAGAACAGTCACACACTAATGACCTCTTATGGAAGCCTCAAAAAAATAAGCTCAGTAGCTCTTAGAAATATGCTGAAGCCACATACCTCTAAGAAAAAAAAGAGTAACAGATGTAGATTGGAAAGGGATCAGTATTCTCTCTCTAGGCGAAAAAACAAATCTCGGAACACCTTGAATAAGAACTTCAAGATTCAAGAACCTCTATATCAACAACGACAAGAAAGACTATGCAGATAAATAGAAACAATTGAACTAAAGCTACAAGAATCATATAAAATCCAGGAGAGGCAGCAAAAAGTCACTAGGGAAATTGAAAGCAATCCAAAATACTTTCTTCCTATACAAAATCTAGAACAAAAAATACTTTACATCTAGTATTTAGCCCCTGCACAAGGGAGATGAAACAGCAAACAACAAAGAAATGTTGTTTTGAAAACCACACATAAAATAATGAAAACCATTTTTTATAATAAAAAAGCAATGTCAATGATCCAGGAATTATGTCGGAAGACATAATTGGTGGAAGAATCCCACCAAACCTGGTCAAGACTCTTGACCAAGTCAAGTGGGAAGGGTCTGAAGATCAGAGCCTACAACACTGTCTTGATGTTGGTGGCCTTACTGTTATGTACAAGGCCAACATTCTCGAGCAGGCATGTCCAACAGCCTGGTTGGACATCAATCAGGAGGCCTGATCAGAGACCGGGCTGCAGGAATGTTGATCCTGGGAATCACCACACAGTAACTGTAACCAGCATATCACAATGCAAGTCTCAGGATCTTTGCTTGCAGGAACTCAACACATTTCTCACCCCTTCTCAACATGCACAACTGTGGAACACCCTTCTCATGCTTTTAGAAACGTGTGTTAAAAAATAAACTGCATATCTGCAAAAGCACACCTTTTGAACACACACACACAAATCAAGGCCAAGCTGTATAGTAGTAATGGTATGCATCAATCTAAAATTAATTTTATGTGCCTATTCAAAAACATAAATTAAAAAAAGCAGAACATAGACAGGGTATTATACTGTAGTACTCTTTTTGAGAGCTATCAACACAACAGGTGATGCATGTTTTATTATATTTTTATTGGTTTATTGATTGTCTAATTGTAATTTTAGTAGGCCACTGAATAGCATGAGACGCACTCCAGATAAATCTTATTTCATTCAAAATCTTGCTACACAAGGGATATCTTTCAATGCAGCATCAGTTGTACAATGTTTTGGAAGTATGTACTGTGTACAAGGATGGACTCCAAAAAGTGTGTAAAATATAGTAAGAAATAAACTTTTGAGGTTGACATGATGCA